AATGAAATAGCAACACAATTTGTTGCCATAATTATAACCGATGTTGATTAAGATGAAGCTAGCTCCTTAGTCAGAGGCTGGACATGGCTAATTCAGATCGAACGATTGTACGCACTGGTGCATCCGTGGGTGTAGGAAGGAACAATCGGGGGTGTGGGCCGCCCTGGGTGTCACCACTGGGGATGAAGGGTTGACAAAATGGCAAAAAAATGTGTCCTAAATGTTAAAAAAATTGAGCGTGAGTAAGTCTCTCTCTCTCTCTCTCTCTCTCTCTCTCTCTCTCTCTCTCTCTCTCTCTCTCTCTCTCTCTCTCTCTCTCTCTCTCTCTCTCTCTGTGTGTGTGTGTTTTGATGACAGGAAATGTACAGCACCGGGTACCACATTACCTTTCTATGCCAATAGGTGCACCACATCATGTGGTTCACCGCATCTGCATCCCGTTGGAAAGATAACAGACTAAGGAATTTGCCTTTTACCTGACTGTGGCTGGAGTCTCTGGGTCGGTCGGAGCTGACACATGTCAGTTTCATATTCGCGCTAGGTATACATGCGTGCTAGGAAATGAGCAAGCTGATAGGCTCGCAGGTAAATCTACTGTAGAGGACGGAGGTACTATAGACCAGGCTGGTATACTGAAGGCTCCACGAGCAGTATGATGTTTGTGCGAACCAAGTGACGACTGCGAATTTGTAACCATGACCCGATTACAAGAACAGCATGTTGAAAGGGGTGTGGCGAGACGAGAGCATTATAGAGGAAGCCATACAAAATAAGAAACCAATATTCTACGTAACACTTTTAACTTCACGGTGTCCTGTTCATCCAGCTACATGTAATATAGTGGATTGCAGGTTTACTATTTTTAGTCTTTTTTTATTTTTTGACAATATATAGCCGTTGCATTTTTCTGCATATGTAGGAGTATCACTGAAAGGTCATAGCTATTTTATCGATTACCTGATATAATACTGCTTAATAAAATCTTCAGTGTTTAGTGGATGCAGTGACAGTCCACGGTGAGAAACTATGATTGGAATTAAATTGAAAAAAAAAAAAAAACGAAAACTATGGTCATCACAAAGAAGAAAGAGATACTAAAGTGTGAATTACATGCAGACGGCAAAATTCTGAAGCAAGTTAATAGAAACAACTATTTAGGAACAGTCATAACATCTGATACAAGATGTGTTGCAGAAGTTAGAACAAGAATCGCTATGGTAAAAGTGGCCTTCAGTAAGTTGCAAAAGATTCTCACTAACAAAAAGAGGGCAATTTGCAGGAGTGTTAAAGTGCTATGTAAAACCTCTGTTGTTTTATGATTACGAAACATGGACAATTAGCAAACAAGCTGAAAAAAATTTTTACTAGCGATAGAGGTGTGGTTTTTGAGAAGAATGCAAAGAATATCACAAAAGGAAAGACAAAGCATTGAAACGGTCCTCGTCGAGAAAGATACAAGTCGTAAATTTATAAGAACCACTATACGTAGACAGTCAATGTTTGTCGTATATCTGCTGAGAAAGAATCGACTCGAGAACATCCTATGACATAATGTAACATAACCCTTGACCCGTTAGGATCGTGGAGGTGAACTGATGGAATCACTAACACACAAAAACCCGTCATCTTTCTCTGTCTTCCGCATGTTGAACAAATATATGATAACTTAGTCCTGTCCATTTCTTGATGTTTTTATTACAGGTTCAACTTTGCCTTTCTCTTCTTCGACCACCCCACCCCTCCCTATTGTTCCTTGAAGTATTTGCAATTTAATCATGTCTCACCACGTACCCGAACCAAGCTAGATTGCGACGTTTCACCACAGTCAAGAGAGGCTCTTGATGTCCCGCATTTTTATTTTGTTTCTGGCATATTTATTAGTTTTATGTTCTAATTAACTGATTCGTAAAAGTAAAACTCGTCAATAACAGTTATACTCGAAAGCCTGCATCTTCATTTTCATTTTCATAGATCTTGCTGCTCTCTGCATTAGTTTCCATGTCATATATACCACAGACTGTTTCTAATTATATAGTACGACTTGGAACCAGACATCATAATGTTATCTGCGAAAGGTAAATTACTCAGTTGTCTTCTGCAAATAGATGTTTCATGATTTTCGAGTGTTACTCTCATGATGTGTTTCAAATACACATTGAAAAGGACAGGGCATAGTATGCAACCCTGTCCAACTCCCACACTGGTTATTAAGTTGATAACAACTGACAAGACTGATGGAAAGAGAGAAAAAGTTAAATACTTGGATGGTCTTGTCAAATGAATGAAGAGAGACAAAAACATTGAACTGATCCGGAATTCTGGTGATCGTGTGCGATGACAGCCTACGCTGACTATCACGGCACAGGATGACAATGTTCAATCAGTTGATGTTGTATCCGCCAAGATAGCTGTGTTTATAAATTCTGAATTTGTTTTTACCGAAACGACATATTCCAGCGTCCATAACGACGAATCGGATCATGCAAGCAGAAAATGTCAACTTAATTGTACGTTTATTGCCATGTTAGCTTATCTGTTATAATAATCACAAGGGTACTACATTTGTACAATAGTTTTTCATAAAGGCTTCCTGATATGTTTTTCTGACAGAAAGTTCGAAGAGAAAGATTATTCACCGCCTCCTAACAAGTTAACATCTCATTTATTCGAAGATCTTGATTGATTGATTGGCACCTTTTTCTGTCTTTCCAGACGAAAGTGTTATATTGTGCTATGAGGAGGTATGAGACTCACAGCCCATGGCGATGGCGAGAGTGACTAGCAAGACCCACCCGTGTCAAGAAAAGTCTTCTACGGCTCTCCTTGCAATAACGGTCGCTAGTTGGACGGCGACGGCCGCTTAGTCGTAGTGTAGTTCAGTCCCCTGGCTGCAGTGCAATTACGGAGTGGAAAAGAGGGAACGACACAAATGACATAATTAGGGGTAGGGGTAGGGTTAGGTTGTGGGTTTGGGTTAGGCTAATGTGAGTCGCAGTGCGTAGTGGGGAGGAAATCGTTTTTCGACCCATGTGCGACGTGGAAAAGAATAGATTTAGATCCATTGTTTAAGTCTTGATTTCGTGCCGTGTCCACATCCGTAAATATTTTAGGGGAGTGCAAAACAGACATTCTAGTTATATTGTTTCTCAGGCCTTCTCAACCTGATCCAATCCAATATTAGGGCGCAGATATCGCAGCCTAGCTGTAAACCACAACACAACGTGAGAACCATTCTTTCAAAGGCGAACGAAAAGAACGAAGTCACCTCATTATCATTGGTCCAGCCTTGTTTTAGGCAGCCTTGTAAACCACAACACAACGTGCCAAAAGGGTTAAAAAATCCTCTTGTGGCCTTGAATAGGATTTTTTAACGGTTGAATTTTGGGACCGGTATTCGGAAGAGTGCCATGTGAGTCACAGTGCGTGGTCTAGACACCATGTTGAACTCACTGTGTTTTGTGATTCGTGCCGTGTCCACTCCGTAAATTCAAGTGCAAAGACATTCTAGTTATATTGTTCTCAGGCCTTCTCAACCTGTTCCAATCCAATATTAGTCTTTTCTTCACCTCTTGGTCCACCTTGTTTAGTTCTTTCCCAAAGCTCAAAATCAGTGATTCTATCTAACCATTTAATTGCACAGGGACCAGTTAATGAATGTCTATAGTTGATTAGTAATTGTTTAAGCTGTTCTTATGTTTATGCTCCATACAGCAGTACTGCTTTAACATGAGAATTAACAATTTTAAGTTTAGTATTAGTTTTTATTTAGTTTGACCTCCACAAATTTCCCAGTGGTATGAAAGCATCTCTTGCCTGTTATATTCATTTTTTTAATATCTCTTTAAGTTCTGCCATTTTTATCTATATTACTGCTCAAATAGGTTTATGACTCCACATCTTGTGGTGAGTACAACACTTTTTTCTGGAAAAAAATCCTTGTTTAGAAGTAATGATTTTTATCCCTTTTGGTACTGAGTACGAAAACTTCTGGGACTGAAAAAGTTGTGGGTATATATATATATATATATATATATATATATATATATATATATATATATATATATATATATATATATATATATATATATTTTGGGTTCACATTGATTAGTGTCTAAAGAAGTAGAAGAACAAGAGGACCAGTAGTGGGGAGGAGATGGTTATTAAAAATAAGACTAGACCATTCTAACACTGCTTTGATACAGAAATTCATAATATAGATACTTCCCCGGGTAGGTTCCAGGGCCCCATTGTGGGGAAAATAAGAATAGACTGATTGCCTCCCCAAACAAGCATGTTGTAAGAGTCGACTGACTGGGGACTTCCTTCGATATCAGAGTGCATCTGCCTGAGAGGCAAGGAATCTACAGTCTGCATACAGATAAGTCAGATGTATACACAACACTCAGGTTCTGGAACAAGATTAAAGGCCGGGGGTGGATGAATATCCAGAACTTTTAACCGGAGTTTACAGCCGAAGAACATGAAAAAGAAGAAGAAGAAGAAGATAATGTAGATACTAAGTTTACTCTGAGCTGAAGGAGAATAATATATGAAAGAAGGAATTGCCATCCCACCTCATAATATAATAAATATTTTTATTAGTAAAATGTTTAATTAAAGATTAAAAGTGAGAGGAATGAGTTCATTGCACTGGGGTTTATCCTATATATCCCACATATTTTTCAACAGAATGGCTCGCAGACTGCTGAGAGCAATGCACAAAGCATGAACTCTGGAGCTCAGTTAATGAACCTCAGAGATCTCCATAAACAAATTGCACTCACAAACCAAACAATGCAGCTCTGAAATTAACCCACAGTTTTCAGAGCGTGGGACAAACGACTTGACCACTTCACCATGAAATCTGAGCATCTGACACTCCTGTACCAGTTAATACTAACAGCTTATGTTTATCTGATTCGTTATGTTTGGTTTTTAATTTTATTTGCAGATCTTCTGCAGAGAAGGTAAGTTGACATCACACAACCTGACAAGTCTTAATGGAGGAAGATGCCAACAAAGCAGCAGAAGAAAAATTGATGCAATTATGGGAACTGGACACATTTTTAGATAGAGTTATAAATGAAAATTGTAAAGTGATTAATCTCAGTCACAGAGGGCTGACGATTGTGACCAGACGACTAGAAGATGCAAAGGCAGCCCAGACTCTACTGTTGAATAATAACAAGCTTCTGATGCCTCCTGGAGAACTGTGCTCACTGAAAGATTTGACAGAACTCATCCTTGACAACAACATGCTTACAATGTTGCCATCAGGTAACAGCCTCTCTGTTGCTTTTGAGTTAAGCCTTTTGCACAGTCTAAGTATATCGTTTGCATTCCCAAAAAGGTACATGTATGCTATACAGTGGAACCTCGTTAACATGAACTCACTTAAGACAAATACATAGCTTCTTCTGAGGGCTTATCAGCTGTAAACTCCAGTTGAAAGTTCTGGTTGTTCTCTCACTTCTGGTCCTTTGGCATTTTCCAGAACTTGAGTTCTACACGCATTCACTTTTGCAGATCTGGCTTATTTGTAAGCAGCCTATTGGTTCTCACATCTCCTTCAACCTCACATCTCTTTCACTTCAACTCTTTCAACCCCCACTTCTACACTTAACAGCAAAAAATGGGTTGGAGAAAAACTAATTCATATAGAACTAAATAACAGAATGGTTAGTTAGTTGACAGATGAGGATCTGCATGAGGTTTAAAATAAGTTTGAAAGATGAGAGTAATAATTACACATATTTCTGCATTGTATTGTATTTATTTGTTTGCTTCATGATTTAACATGAATGTTTGCTTTATCTTTCTCAGGCATAGGTAGTCTTTCCAAGTTACGAATACTTTCAGTTTCTCACAATCCACTTGTTGCATTACCGGATGACCTAACAAATCTTTCTTCACTACAACATTTGTGGCTTATCAATTGCCAGCTTGGCTCTCTGCCTCAAAATCTTTGCAGACTAAGACATCTTAGGAAATTAGGACTCAGTCAAAATGAGCTTCATATTATTCCTGAAGATTTGTGTAATCTCGGATGCTTAAAATGGCTTAGTTTGGATTCCAATGCCATGAAAGAGCTGCCATCAACATTTGGCAGACTACATGAGCTTGTTTATTTGAGTCTGAATAACAACTGCTTTAAAGAAGAGCCAATAATTGTGAAAGATCTACCAAATCTGGTTACACTGCATATGCGGAAGAATCGTATTAGCAGCCTACCAGGTGAAACAATAGCTGCCTTAAGTTTCCTAGCTTGTTTAGACATCAGGGAGAATGGTGTTCTTGAAAGGCCACCCGAATGGAAGGTAATATATAGAAATTTAGTTGCTTAACATAAATTTGTTGATGGTTATTTGAATATCACAGTTCTTCTTTATGAAGCGGAATGCTGGAGAATGACTAAAAAGGATGCACACAAGCTGTCCACCTTCAACCACACATGTCTACGTAGAATTATCAATATTTTCTGGCCAGATACAATCTCAAACAACAAACTACTTCAAGCCACAAACCAAGAAACTTTAGACAGTATGATTACCAAGAGAAGATGGAAATGGCTTAGCCACTTTATGAGAATGACTTCTGATATACCTGCCAAAACAGCTCTCACATGGACACCAGAGAGAAAGAGAAAACAGGGGCGCCCAAAAACAACATGTCTTCTCCTGTCATTCACCTGGAATAAGTTGTCTATATCAAAAATGGTATCTCTCATATACATTTCACTGTTGTTTTTAGTTCATTTAGTAGTCAGTTTAGATAGAGCTAGATGATGCAAAGTATTTTATATATAATATATAACGTTCAGCTGTTGTTCTTTCTGGCCAAAAGGTTTGCTTTAATATGTCATATTTGGTACAGTCCTGGGGTACATGTTCTGCTGTCTGGGGCGACTTTACACATGTACACATGGCTGACACACCTGTCTTTCATTCTGCGTACATGTGGTTGCATAATGGGTTGTGCCCTGTTTTGAGGCATAGGATAATGACTTGTTCTGATATGTCCATAATATAGTAGTCGTCTTGTGCTGGGGCTGGTGGTTTCCTGATCGATTTAATTATCCTTTTATTTGATGGTATGTAACTAACTTGTTTAACTAGTCCATCCATCTTCTCTTTTGATCAACTCTCAAATTTCCAGGCACTCCACAATTGAATAATATCCACTGCATTGCAACTCTATGCTTGCAGCCGAGTTGTTATGAGTTAGTTGGATTATCTTCACAGCACTACAGACACATCCATAGATGCTTAGATTCCCCTCTCAACATATTAATCAGCGTCACAGTTAATAGTGCCAGTCCTTTGATGGTTGACAAGAGTTTGTGTGCATCCGGTGTGCTTCTCATGCTTGGCTGTGCCGGTCTTACTACCAATTCTTGTATTTTTAGCAGTGATGTGGACATGTTGCATCCAAAATCCTTGGAGAGTCCTTTCTCTCTAAGGGTATTGGCAATGTCTGCTTGATTCATGGGCCAGCCATCTTCAATTAATGTGGCACCTGCCAGGCTATCAGCTCTTCATTACCAACAACACCTGCATACACTGGGAAAAATATGAAGGTAACTGCACACAAAGAAGAGTTTTGGAATGACTCAGTCCACTGTATGAGTAACCAGCCTGCCTCGACCTGCCCGATCATGCTTAAAGAATCACTCAGTACATACACGCAGAAACAGTCCTGTGATTCTAGCCACATGAAAGCTTGTGTCACCGCCATCACCTCTTTCATCATGCTGCTGGTAGTCATGGAGAAGGCACCACTGGCTTCCTGAACTATTCTACCTGAAGTTAGTTACATAATTGTTGTCTGTTTCTTGTTCCTTTCCTATCTTCCCCCTTGATTCAATGCAGTCCATGGTACCCTGTTGCCATAAATCCACCTCAGTACCGGTATCATTTATGCCTTGATTGCAAACATCATAGTAGAGGTCAACCCAACAGCTTCCACCCATACACCTGCTGGATGAGAGATAGAATATAACCAGAAGATTATTCAGCACAACACATTCAGACTCGCTAGATTAGACCAAGACTGCTAATATTTCCACAACAGAATTTTGGCGCTGTTGTTTGGAGCTGATATGTTCCAGCATTGTCAGTGGCTTAACTTCTACTTAATTTTTATTTCATTTTGTCCAAGTGTTAGATATCTCACAAATTACTACTTAGGTATGTTTAAATATCCATATACTGCTACTTATGTGGTATATAGGCAAAATAGTTGTAAAATCCATGGAAATGTTGAACTATACCTATATCTTCTACCCTTTATCCTCCAGTAGGGCATAGGCCCTCTACCAACAAATGCTACATCAGCCTCTTTTAATATTGTGTGGGCTCCTAATCTTTTTCACTTCCCTCTTGAATTCCCTACTTCGTGTGTTTTGTTGGCATTGGTCTGCCTTTATTTCTTGGACACTGTTGGTTCCAGAGGAAAAACATTCCAGTTATACTGTTAACATACACTGAGAAACCCAGATAACAGCCCTTATTCTTCAACAGTCAGTGTAATTTCTGCTCAAGTGATGTGATTATCTATACAGATAGTTTTGTGTTAACAGGCAGATGAAGTGCATTTGGGGGTTCATAGCCTAAGTGAATGGACATCATTTAGCGGAACAAAGTTGGCATATGATACCATAATTTAGTTTGAGAAATAGTTTGGGAGGTAAAAAGCAGTCACTGGAGCATTTTGCTGGCTTTAAAACCAGCTTTACACATGTCATAATTGTAACTGACTCACAGAGCATACTGAGAAAGATGGAGACAGGTGTGCTCCATGCAGAGTGGCAAGCATTGTTTCAGATGTCCCAGGTAGTCAGTGTCCTTTGGATATTTTCTCTAGGTTATGCTGGTGTTTTCGAAAATGAACATGCAGAGAGACTGGCTGGTTCTGTACCACTTGGTCATGAATTGATGCATGACAAGCTAGATGTTGTAAGGGTTCTTTGGGAGTGGGTGATCAGTGCAGAGGCAGAAATAAATCATCACGGTCTGAAGAGAATGCTGCTCTTGAGGAGTGACCAGGGGATCGGGTTGACGATCAGCACTCAAGGGAAGGGTGAGATTGATATGCAGTCAGATGTTACTGGTGCCACTGAAATTGGAACTCTGTGCTTACTGCTGAAGATGGGTATGGAGCACTCAGGGAACATACTGAGTGCTGTGATGTTGTTTCTTAATTCAACATTCAGTAAATTTATTGCTTAGGAAATTCTGTCAAATATTTGCATCATTCTTCTTCTTCAACATTCTGAGCCCTTGAGATTCATTGCTGCAGATATCACCCGCCTCTACTCATCTCTCTGGTTGGCTTTCTCTTTCCAGTTGGTGACATCAAGTGTTTGCAGGTTTGTCTGGACATTATCTCTCCATCGTCTTCTTGGTCTGCCTCGTGATCCATGACCATTCAGCCATGGCAGTACTAAAGTTTGGCCGTGATTCAGCTCTCTTGTATATACGGTTTTTACCTCTCTGTCATCTGACATTCTTTCAATATGCCAAAGCCATTTCAGTCTATTAGATCTCTTGATACCAGTGATCAATGGAATTAGTTTACTGGCAGCTGTTCTTCATGCTTATGAATAAAATGAGGGACTGCAATAGTTTACTTCTCATATTATATTACAGTGTCCTTTAAGCTCCAACCATCTTCTGAGATGACAATGCAATAATAAATTGTTTTGTTTCTATTTGAACAGGGCTATGACTTTATTAGAACTACTGCATTCCAAGACGAAGAAGAGAATATTTAGAGACTAATAATTATTTACAAGTATTAATGAATTAAACAGCTAAATCTGTTTATATCGGTTGTTTCACTCAAGGTGGAACCCAGTATTTTGTTCATAATTCAGACACTAATAAAGATTTGGGAACAAAATCTGGAGTGAACTTACCTCTGTTCATGCAAAGTCATGTGACATCATAACAGGTGCTGGAAAGGGCCACCATTGGCATCCAGGCAGCACTGAATGCGGCGTTCCATATTGCAGAAAGTTCCTCTCAGTATATAAGATGTCACTACTTGGATGGCACTAATGATTACTTTTAAAGGTTCTAAATGGTTTGTGGTTTGTTATGATGTCAACTGACTTCCATGAATGGAGGCAAATCCAGGCAAAATGTTGTTGCCATATCTTTTTTAGTGTCCGAGTTATGAATGAAACACTGGGTTTCACCCTCCAGTGGAACACCTGATGTACACAAGCAAAAATTAAAAATGTGTGGAATATTCGCACACTGTCTGCACTTTAAAAAATGCAGTTGTAACTTTTAAATGATTTGATGCCCGGCTCGCTAGCTCAGTTGGTTAAACCTGACTGCATGGGAACTGGGTGATAAACTCCTTTTGGTCCGGGTTCATGCCCGGGGTTAGGCAGAAAAGCCAAATTTCTTCCAGATTTACAGTATTTATTATGGAATCAAAGCCGAAGGTTTGTGATATCCATAGTACTAAGCCAAAGGGTTAACAACTCATGGTTTCTGGATATAAAAATTTTTTTTTTGATATAATGCTATATAAATGATTTGTTGAAATGTTAAAGTGAGTATTTTTGGATTAGTTGATAATATTGGATTAGTTGGCTGACTTTACTTATAATTATATAGATCCAAATGCGCCGCCAACAAGCAGTCTTGGAGGGGGCTGATATTTGGGATCAAGGGGCATACACATTGTTTAAGTGCACAATAATAATTAAAAAAAGTAACCTTATGTGCTGAAAGGCAAATACATATAATATTATTCACTATTTGAAATAATATGAAATGTTAACCACACACACACACAAAAGAGAGAATGCCTTTAAATGGTTAAAGGGACTACTTGGCCCTGCTGCAAATTTTCAGGGTGGGGTGGGGCTTGGCCCCCCCCCCACCCCCCACCCTTAGGAATTATTAGGAGGCTCAAGATGCCTGAGCTCCAGGTTCAGGCATCTCTATATTGATCAATGTCAAGTTTAATCAAACTACATTTAATTATTTCATGTGTAAGATAATAAGCGAAACCTAAATGTTCCAGTACAGATGTTTTTCAAGAATCTTAAAAGTCTTGGGCCTACTAGCGTTCCACTTTCTGAAAGAATGTTTGCTTTCTTTTCTAATAATTATTAGCGTCTATGGTTTAGGGGTTAAGAGTTTACTCCACAATTCTGAAATAACCAGTTCTGTTCAGTTGCAGGCAATTTGGCAGCATGCTGCTTTATGTTTATTACAACAGTGGTATAGAGGGTCAACTGTTCACTTTGCAATGGCAAACTACTGGACATATATAATAATATTAAAATATAAAAAATATCTTAAGCATGGCAGTGTCATAACAAATATAACTGAAGACTCATACATATTTTTTTTAATGGAGAAAATGAAACATTTTTTTCATATAAGTTTATTTTCAGATAATTTTACATTATTGTGTACATGTTATTGCTGATGATGAAGAAACAAAATGATGCTATGATTTGTGTTACTATTTTTTTTTTGGGTCACTGTTTTTGTCTTCATCTTGTTCTCAGACTTTCATAAAAGCAAAGAAATCAGCAATGAACTTTCAATTCTTCTTTTTTTTCTGCCCTTCATTCCCCAAACGGAGCATAAGCTCTCAACCAACTTAAGCCAAGTCGTTCTTTGGTCATTCTATTCTTTGTTATTGCATGCAGCTCTTCTTAAATTGTCCCTGTCTTTTTAAATTCACTCTATAGTTCCCTTTTCCATGTTTGTGTGTGTGTCTTATCACCAGACTTTTTCTCTCTATATAGTGAAATAATTTTGAGGGAAATTAATAGAATGCAGGAGTAAGAGTTGGAGGATACAATATAAACAATTTGCGTTACGCAGACGATACCGTTTTGATAGCTGAAAAGTCAACTGATTTACAACAACTGCTGGATATTGTGGGGAAGGAGAGTGCTAAGAAAGGACTTTCATTGAATATTGAGAAAACGGAAGTAATGTTTATATCAAAGAAGAAGATAACTCCACGTTGTGATATCTCGACTGAAGGAAAACGACTTAACCAAGTCAATAAATTCAAATATCTGGGAACAATTCATATCATCAGATGGAAAATGTGTGACAGAGATTAAAAGCAGAATAGGTCAAGCAAAAGCAGCATTTCAGAAAATGAAAAATTTGCAATAAATCGTTCTCTTTTAATGTCAGAAAGAGGGTGCTAAAATGTTACATAGAACCTGTTCTGCTGTATGGCAGCGAATCTTGGAATGTCACTAAACAAATTAGGAAGAATTTGGAAGCAACAGAAATGTGGTTTCTGAGACAAATGTTATGATACCTTGGATGGCCAGAGTAACTAACAACGACTGCTTGAAAGAAGCTAATGAAAGTAGATCTTTATTTACAACAATAAGAAAAAGACAAACACTATTATTTGGCCACATAATGAGAAAAGAGACATTGGAAAACATTGTGACAACTGGAAAGATCAGTGGAGAAAGTTAAAGAGGCAGACCAAGAGAGATGATGCTGGATGAGCTGAAACGATGGCATGGAGGGTTATCATCAAGAGAGCTGTTCCAGGCAACCAGAGATCGTGATCTGTAGAGACTCATGAGCGTCTACGCCAGTTGGCAGGGCACATGATGATGACGATGTGTGTCTGCCTTTTGTTTTTGTGTGCTTATGTGGGTTCCAGTCGAAAGGCATTCTAGATATACTGTTCTCAGGTTCTCAAGGTGTGTCTTATCTAATGCCAATGTCTTTTCACTGCTGATTCACTGGAATATGCTTAGTTCTTTCTCAGAACTCCATGTTAGTGATTCTATTAATTTAATTCATTCTATAATGAGCAGACACCAGCTAATGGATGTTTGTATTTTACTAGTAATTCCACAACCTGTGTATAGTATGTAGGTAAATTACAAGACCCTTTTTTATGGTGATGTGGTCTATACCAAGCCTGATACACCAAGTACTGCTCAGATGTTTCTCTTATAATATAGGGTCACTGCCTTCTTTCTGTTTTATCGTGTGTTCTCCTTCTCTCAATATCAGACTTTCTAGAATATATGGAGAGTTATCACAGTCAATGTAACTGCACACTAGGCATTCCCATGCAGGCTCAGTCTTGAGATGCTACATCCATCCCAAGCTACCGCTACTGACTGTGCCCAGGAGAAATTGGTTATACATCTTCTATTTTGACCTTGAAGACAGCACCAGCATGCTTCATGTTAGTAATATGGTTGACAGTTACTGGTATCAAAATGATCTCACAATTATTACAGAAAAAAATATTGGCTTTTGAGCTTAAATACAGAACTTATATGCTGGTGTAAATCAGAAGGTGAACACAAAAAGAAGAAGATGAAGAAGAAGAAGCTGAAATACTACAGAAAGATTCTCAGAACACCACTGACTAAGAAAAAGAACCAAAAAGTGATATCCTGAAAGATTTTCTCCTTTTTCTTCTTCATGCTCACTGCCTGTAAACTCCTGCAAAATGTTGTGGTTGTTCGTTCACCTCTGGACTTTAGTCTTGTTCCAGAAACTGAATGTTACATGAGCATCTGTTTTACAGATCTGATATATTTGTATGCAGATTGTTTGTTTCTTGCATCTCATGCAGATACAATCGTACTTAGAAGGAGATTCTTACAACATGCTTGTTCAGGAGGTAGTGGGTCTATTCTTGTTTTCCCCACTGTAGGGCCCTAGAACCCACACAGGGACTTAAAAAATTGAAAGATCAAGAAAGACTGGCTAGTAAACAGCATCTTGTCTTAGGAAATGAACACCTGAGGCCATATCAATTGCCACGACAGATTGGAAAGAATAATAGTGGAAAACAGGGTACCAGGAAAGAGGGGCAGGGGTCAACCAGCATTAAGATGAGCACAGGATATAAAGAAACCTAGAGTAAAAAAAAAGCATGAGGTAGAAGAGGTGCCTGGAGATCAACTTTCTTTCAGGCTTTCCGTGGTGAAAGCGGCGTTCTTTAAAAGTGCTACTTTATCCAAATGAGAATAACAATATTCAGAACAATAATTCAACAAACACAACCCAGGTGATGGGTAGAAAAGACCATCCTTTATCTATTGTGCACAAGCCTTTGAACTCTAGACCTTGTAACAAGGAAAGTGCTTTAAAAATTCTTCATATGTCATCTAGTGGGAGAGAGCAAAAATGTCTTGAAGCCACCACTATTTGTTGCCTCCATGTAGAAATACAGCTCGCCATCGACAGAAGCAGCAGTTACAAACAGATCAGCACTTGCACACGCAATCTTAATCACATAAGGCACCATCAATTTTTTTGGCAACAAGCCACATGTTAATTTTCTTAATCTACAGTTCACAACACCATGTTTGTCACAGTAGAAAAATGAAACTTGCAGCTCACAGTGTCACGCCATGCACTCAGTAGTTGGGCGAACCAAATGTATATATAACAGCATCTTCCGGTGATTTCACTTCTGTATCAACTAGCGCCGCGCCAAATCACAACAGTGTCTTGTCAGGGTGAGATCCGCCACTAAGTACTGATTCATTTGATTTGGTATGGGTATTCAAACGATCGGTGGACAAGACAAAGACATTAACACAGATATGCATAAGACGTCTTTCTTTAGACTAAGGTTAAGTATTAATAATACTAGTATCCTAATTTCTTCCACTATGTGATGTCTTTCCCCGTGTGGGTTCCGGGGCCCTATTATATGGAAAACAAGAATAGACCCACTGCCTACCCAAACGCATGTCGGAAGACTCGACTAATTGGGAGCTTCTTTCGAAGTCGGAGTGCCTCTGGCTGAGAGGCAAGGAATCGGAACCAGCAGTCTGCATACAAATGAGTCAGATCAGAAAGGGATGCACACGCAACATTCAGATTCTGAAACAGGACTGCAGTCTAAAAGTGGACGAACAACCAGAACTTTCCTCCAGTTTACAGCTGGTGAACGCGAAGAAGAAGGGTCGGCCACAACATCGAGAATCAACATCATATAATTATTATTAATGTGTGTTTACAAGTCTAGTGCTGTAGTCTCCTGGTCTAGCAGTCCATGCAAGTATTACAAGTAAACACAACTGTACGCGCAAAATAGTGGGTTGGATTTGTGTCTATAAAATTATAATAATTCTTTTTGAATTAGAAAAAAAAAACGTAAATGTATTTAAAGTAAATAATTATTTAATAGTAATGTGTATCATAATTTAAATTTCTAATAATAATTTTGTAAATGTTGTTATATATATGATAAATATAATACAACGAGAAACAAGAACCGGTCCAGCAGTGAAGGTAGACAGATTAGGTTTGACAAAAGCTGTACTTGATCCAGACGGGACTTTGACTCCTAGCTCCTTTCCCAACCAGCACTCCACCACAGAGGGTCCTACCCTACACACACTGCCTGTGGGGATTTAAACACAGATTATTCCAACCAACACCGGGTAATTGCATCTTCTTCTTCTCAATATTCACCAGCGACTGGAAGTTGAATGTTTGGGTTGTGATGTGTTTGTGAACGAAAAGTATGCCTACTTCAGGACATAAGTGAAATTAGTCTGTTTCCAGAACTTGAGTTTTGCGTGCACATAGATTTGGCTTAATTGTTTGCAGACTGTTGGTTCCTTGCCTCTCAGACTTCGAAAGAAAAGTCATAGTTACCTGCTTGCTTGGAGGCCGTGCATCTTTTGTTTTTAACCCCGCAGTGGAGTCCCGGAACCCACACGGGGAAAACAAAATACTATACAGATTAGATTCATTAAATAATTGTCTTAATAATTACTACACGTTGCATAAACTAACAAATAATAGGCTCTCCTGTCAACTACGGCCGGTAGACAACAGTAGACGGCCAGTTAGTCGGAGTTCTGTCCCCTGGCTGCAGTGCAATCACGGACTGGAGAAGGCACGAATCAGACCACAAAGTGAGGTCGACATGCCTAGCAGACCCCGCACTGCGACTCAAATTAGCGACCGCGATCAGTTACCCCTTCTTGCGACGCATTACGGAGTGGATTAGAGGGAACGATACAAGTGACAGAATTACTGTGTGTTGGTGATAGACAGCGTGCAGTGCCCTGCTATAATCATACGGTTAGGGTTTGGTTTAGGGTTTGGGTTAGGGTTAGGGGTAGGGTGTGGGTTAGGTTTAGGGTTGGGGTTAGAGTTTGGGATGCTACTTTGAGCTTGTGCGACGACGAGATGCGGCGACACTACCCGTAACCCTAACCCACACCCTAACTCTACCCCTTACACTAAACCCAACCCACACCCTACCCTTAACCCTAACTCTAACCCTAAACCTAACGCAAACCCTACCCCTAACCCAAACTCTAAACCAAACCCTAACCGTATGATTATAGCAGGGTAGTGCACGCTGTCTATCGCCAAAACACAGTAATTATGTCATTTGTTTCGTTTTCTCCTGTCCAGTCCATAATAGCACTGTAGCCAAGGGACAGAACTCAGACTAACCGGCCGTCTACTGTTGTCTACCTGCCATAGTTTACAGGAGAGCCAAATAATATATGTGCTTGAAAACTGGAGGAAAAACTTTATACCCCAGTTGTAACCCTTATCAGTCGCCATATGCTTAGGGAGATATTAAAGATGGGATCATAGTGCTTATTAAAATGTTAGCTAACTAACTAACAGTAAAAAGTTTCTCATGGTGAAATTTTTTTTTTTTAATTTATAGGTTTCTACATAGACTGACATCATGGCAAGGTCTGGACTGCTAATTTTAACTCAACCACTGTCCCATCTGAAATCACTGATTCCTCAGGTTGTCAAAGAAGCATCTGAATCTGTCAGCGGCACACTTTACATTTGTTTACAACCAGCCCTACAAGATCGACATGTGACACAGGACTCCCTATTGCAGCCTGTTCTCTCAACACAAGAGATGCAGATGTTAATCCGAGATTTTTACATGAGCGGGTCAAAAGTATGCCATACATTGGACATACGGGTTCTTCTTTCACATATTTGTCCAAACCTGTCCACTTTTCAACCAGTTGCATACAGTTTGAAGAAAAAAATGTCAGTTTTATTATCAGATTCAGTAGCCTTGCAAGATGTGTGGAACGATGATAAAATATCACTCGTGGATGTTCTGCAAACAGTATTTAAAAATATCAGCCCAGATATTCAATTTCAGCTTCTTAATACTAATTTTAGCCAGAAGGTCACATCTTCCCAGACATCACTGAGCGTATTACGGACATTCCCGAATGTTGTAGTTGGTGGAACTTTTGATTATCTCCATGCAGGACATAAGTTATTGTTGAATGAATGTTGTTTGCTGTGTGACCAGAAACTAACGGTTGGCATCACTGATGGGGATCGGAACAAAAGTAAGTGGAGTCATTTATTTTTAGAAATAAAGTTTTTTGTGTGTGTGGTCTCCTCCTGTATCTTACTGGAACCCATAAACCAAGCTGTTGCAGAAGAAGAAGAAGTTTTGTTACGATATTAATTAATATCTTAACAATTAGTTAGTTAGTTGGTTAGTTAGTTAGTTGGGTTATCCTCATTGCACTCCGGACATGTCCATAGGTGCTCAGATCCTCCCCTCAGTATGAACCCCAACGTACAATGGCTAATAGTACCAGTTCTATGTTGATTAACAAGTCGTCTGGTGTGCGTCTCGTTTTTTGCTGTGCCGATCTTAATTCCCAAGTCTGCCATTCTGGCGAGTTCTTAACAATTATATTGTTATACTGTCAGTTAATATCTTAACATTTGTTTTGTTATGTTACTGATTTAAGTCTTAACAGTTACCATCTATTTCTGCCATTTAACTCCCCCTGGAGAATAGAAACAAAATTAGACTTCTTCTTCTTTTGTTCGTCCAAAGTAGATTATCTGTATCTGCAATGTTGTCTCTAGTATGAACTTCACTGTCTTTTGTAATTTCTCAATGACCCTTAAAGTTTGCCTTCAACAGATGTTTCTCTTGGCCAGATGTTTTGCCTTTATATGTTGTATTTGGGACAGGATCTGTTGTCACAGGTGCCAATCCACCTGTGCACATGGCTGATTCGCCAGTCTTAAATTGTGTGTACATATGGCTGCACTGTCGATTGTACCCTGTTCTAAGGCGTAGAATAATAATTTGCTCTGGTCTGTCCATAGTGTCGGCTCTGTGGCTAAGTCGATGTGAACACTTCGTAATGCCGGGATGCCAGGTTCGATCCCAGCTGCGGGCCATGCACTTTGCGTTGGTTTCAACAGTGGTATCAAGAAAGCCGACCGTCCAGAAAGCAATGGCAAACTACTGGATGTAAATTGGCCTAGAAAAACCACACAACGGCCAGGGGCTGTTGGAGTTGGTTCTGCAACGTCCTGTAAAGGATATGCAACTAACTAACCTGTCCATAATATGGTAATCCTCTTGTGCCAGTTTTGGTGGCCCTCTGATTGATTTGATTATTCTCTTCTTCTTTTAATAGGAGTCTAGTACGTCAGGTTATTCTTTATTTGCACCTTCCTTAGCTAGTTTTTTAGCTGTCTCATTTCTGAGAAGAGCTTCACAGTGGGATAGTATCAGTATAGTTACCCTCTACTGGTTGACTAGTTTGTAGAGTTGTGTCTGTCTACCTGGTAAATTTCCAGATTTGAGTGCCTGAAGTACAGCTTTTGCATCTGATAGGAATACCACAGGTTGTATAAAATCTGACTGGTTTTTAGGTATTTTGGCTGTGTATCTGGTAGTATTTGGATTCTCATTATACACTCCTGCATCTCCATTTCTGCTTGCGTTTTATGCTGACCCATCCATGTAGACACCAACCCAAAGATCCTATGTGTATTCATCATCAAATAGACTAAGGGTGTATGTTTTAGGTTGCATACTGTTTTGTTCTTCCTTATCAAATACTCCTTTCACATTTGCAGTTGACCCGCGTTCAAGAGTAGCCTAACGGCACTGCCTGGGCAAAAATATGGAGTAGAAAATCTACCCAAAGTATTTCAGGATCCTCGCCGGTGCAACCGAGTTTGTGCACTGCGCTGAGACACTTCTAACTCAGGGCTTGAGTTAGAAGTATAATGGAGCACTTATGGGTTACATCCGTGTGCCATGATGTTGATCCGTCGACTAAACTAATCTGGATGTGTTTTGGCAGCTTATACTCCTCTCTCCAGGATGTTTGTTCTGGAATAGCATTTAAAGGCTATCAGTTGCAAACAGATCAGTGGTTTGTCTGCAGAGTTGTTGTGCCTGGTGAAGGAAACTGCTTCTGTTTAGCCGCCCTGTTGCTAGATTTTGGAATCTTTCTTTTATAGGGTGACCAGGCTTGATAAGAAACTTATATGCTTGTATTAGTATCTTGGTGTGTCTGCATTCTGTCAGTGCTTGGGTCATCACCATCTTCTCCTTCACAGCTATAGGTTTTGATTTCATCCTGTCTTTTATGACTGCGTGCTTGATTGCACACATTGTTCAACTTTTATAATGTGGTTTTTGATGCTTAAATCTTTGCAATTTACACATGTTCAAGGTGTAGTCGTGCACTTTGTTGATAAACTTTCCTAAGTATTTTCCCATTGGCACCCCATGTTGTTCCACTTAGTTTTCTCAGGATAGGTATCTTCCATCTGGCTTTTGATGCTGCCTTGTTTTTTCCCATGATTACCTGTCATCAGACATAACTCTAAGATATGTGGGCTATTCATTTTCTTTTAGTGGTATTCCATTTATCTGAATGACACCTGATTTTTGTTTTGGGGAGAGAGTGAAGAATGTGGTGCTACACTTGTCTATTTTGATGCTGACACACCATTTATCAGCACACGCAGCTATGACTCTTTGTAGCAGTCTAGTGGCCACTGTAGCATATTATTTGTGCTCCATAGTACTGAGTGGTCAGACTACATCGCAGCTTTAAATCTATGGGGTAGTTCAGCAGTTAGGTAATTGATATAGACTATAAAAAGTGTTGGCGACAGGACACCACCTTGGGGGACACATTGGCCTAGCAAGCCATTTTTGCTCATGAGTCACTGTACTCAGGCTCTTCTGCACAAACTGTAGTTAATCATTTGTATTTAAAAAGTAAGGTGTTGCTCCCATAGAACACTGTGCAGTATACAGACATACTGACGAAGTGATTCTGATTACCAGTTCCTGAATTGACTCAGCCTCCTGATTTGGCATCAGTGACCTCGTAACCTAATATCTTGTAAGAGTTCTTTGGGAGCAAATGAATAGGCACAAATAGATCACCATGATTTGATGTGAATGGTGCTGCGAAGAGTGTCAAGTGGATCAGGCCAATGCCTAGCAATTAAATGGAAAGGTGAGACTCATCCACAAGGTGAATGGTGCTGCAAAGAGTGTTGAGGGAATCTGGCCAATGCTCAGCAATTAAATGGAAAGGTGAGACTTATCCACAAGGTGAATGGTGCTGCAGAGAGTGTTAAGGGAATCTTGCTGATGCTCAGCAATTAAATGGTAAAGGTGAGATTGATCCACAAGATGAATGGCACTGTGAAGAGTGTTGAGGGAATCTGGCCAATGCTCACCATTTAAATGGAAAGATGAGACGGATACAAAATCAGACTGTTACTGGTACTATCGGAATTGGGGCTCTAAGCTTGCTGCTGAAGATGGGGAAGGAGTGCTTATGGGAATGTCCAAAGTGCTGTGATGTCGATTCTTGATTTAATGTTTAGCATTTAGGTGCAGAACTGTCATCAATCATTCATTAGACACATTCTGACTTTGTAGGAAATATCAATCCTCCCTATGTTGGCCAGGCCCCTACACCTGGGAAGGGCATAGATAAATCTTGATCAGCGTGAGCCCAGGTCCTGGTCATCATGATCTGTATTTCAGCACCTCTACAATCTGTCTTTAGGGATGATGTTTGAAATGTTTATAGGCAAAAAATTAATTCACCAACCATGTTATTTCTACAGAAAAAGTACTATGGGAGCTTATTGAACCATATGCAGACCGAGAAAAGGAAGTGGTCAGATTTGTTACAGAAGTAAAGCCAGGTATTATCATGGAGCCAGTTAAGATATTTGATGCATTTGGCCCCACAAAGACAGATCCGAACCTTGACTGCATTGTTGTGAGTCAGGAAACCAAAGAAGGAGCAAAGATGGTTAACGAAGAAAGATTAAAATTAGTAAGTATAGTTAACATTAGTTAACATGGTTTAAACAGTAATTTATTTGGAATATGTTTTTTTTTAACATAGATTGAAGTTTGGTGATTTTGGTCACAAGTATGAGGGAAAGTTAAGGTTGTTGTGCTGTGAGTAGGGGAATACCTCACTGTAGATGTCAACAGGTTCTCTGCTGGGTTTTCTGAGCCTCATGCAAAACAACTCCTCTACATCCATATCGTACACCACAGAGCGAGGCAAATATTGGCTTAAACTCGAGTTCTCAGAGCTAGTGGACTCCAGAGCAGTAAACTCTGGCTCTGATCAGCCTGCCATCTAGGAATGGGTGATAACGTCCATCAGAAACACATTTGGAAAATTAGTGAAGTCAACTGGCTGAGCTTCCTACTTAAGCAGCAGTAGGCTAGTAGTAAAGCAGTAAATTAGCGGTAAATAAGTAGTGAAATAGCAGTACATCACCACCAAGCTGGCAATCACACATGCTAGCTACTGTACTACTATGGATTCTGGTCATATATAGTTTAAATTTTAAAATGTGTACATTATCTTAGTACAAGTAAGGTAGTAACACAAAGAGAAACCATGAGACTATGGCAACACTTCCTAAGTAAATTGATAAAGAAACTGAAGTTTAAAAAAAAAAAACAACGCATCCAGCATATGGTTCTACTAGTTGTTTGTAAAGTCTCACAATACTGTATGCAAAACAAATATGAAAAATCCAAGTGCATGGTGTCATTAAGCTGTTGTGGGAAAGCTGGAAGTACCAGTGGAAAATTCATTATAACAGGTCTTGGCAATGTCTACCCTGAGCTTCAAGACATGACTGTAAACATCTTTTTATATTGTCAGATACCTTCTGCAATGTGTCTGATATTGTTTCTTGAATGGTAATTCTGATTTATTTTGTTGATAACACCATTCTGTTTTGAGTGGAAAAAATTACTCCAGCAGATGACAGCCATTTACTGCATATTAGTTCGTGATTGACTATGGAATAAATTTTTTATGATGTCATAAACTTCATTTTCCACATTTGTATAAGACTTTACAAACACCCTGTAGATCAGTATTTTATAAACATCAGCACTCAGTGGGTTATTTAATTAGTAACCTGCCAGCTACCTTTATTTGCCACTACATTTTCTAGTACTCCTATTAGGTTTGGCTGACCTTGAGTCAGGGATGTATGTTCATAATTAGCAGTTGTTCATGGGTGTGGTCTAATAGCATGGTTGAGCAGGTAAGGTCCAGTTCCCTGTAAATGCCACTTAATCAGCATTTCTACTATTAGATGTTTACAATTGCCATTGACTGTGTTTTCACATGTTTAGCCCTTAGGATATCAGGATATGAATATATTTACTAAAAATAGCTTGGGAGGGGGGTCCTTTTCAACCTAAATGGCTTTTTTAAAGCCATGATGATGTAAATTTGTCCCATAGCTTCAGTGATAGAAGTTGTAGGGTCATGCCATGTCTTACCCCCTTTGGATTGCAGTCTATTTAATACATCACTCTATGTTTTTTGTTTCTCCTGTTATATATCTTTATATATTTCAAAACGGTTTTACATATAGATGAATACATTTTTTTAACAAATTGGTTAATGACCTGTTTAAGATAGGTTAATAAAAAAGAAAGAAGATCACAAGTCACGTTTTTTTAGGCCCAGAAAAAAGAGCAACTTTGCTTCCCATTAATAAATTGCTGTGTCACAGGGCTTGTGCTATTTTGCGGGGGTCATATGATGAGAAAAGGAGCACTGGAAAATATCATGACGACTGGAAAGATCACTGGTAGAAGAGGCAGAGGCAGACCAAGAGAAATGAGGGTGGATGACCTAAGACAGTGGCATGCTGGAATATCATCTGTGGAAATCCAGAACACCAAAGACCGAGATCTGTGGAGAAGCATGAACCCCTATGCCAGTGGCAAGGCACTAGATGATGATGACCTGCAGCCTAACCAGCGTAGATAGGATTGACATTTCCTTCAAAGTCGGAGTCATCATCATCAGTTCTCGTTATGCCGAGTGGCACATGAGGTTTCAGAAAGGACTTTCCATGCTTTCCTGTCCTGGGCAATCTTCAATGCAGTTTTCCATGTCAAAGATGCCACACTCAGGTCACTTTCCATCGTTCGTCTCCATGTTGTTTTTGGGCACATTCCAGAAGCCAGTTCTTATTTTGGTTTTAACATCCAGCAGACTTGTTTTCCCATCATGGGCTTTCTTTCGGCTTTCACCCATGTTGTTCATGCTGACAGAGAGATGTTTAGAGCACTTATTTCCTCTTGAAGTTTCAGTAACGTTGTAGTTTTTTGTACAGGGCAGAGCTGTCAACACTGTGCCCAACCCCCGAACCTGGAGGAGTGCATCTGCCTTAATTACAAGGAACCAACAGTCTGCACACTAATAAACCAGATCTGTAAAACAAATGGCACACAACACTTAGCTCCTGGAAACAAGACCAAAGTAGATGAACAGTCAAAATTTTCCACCAGAGTTTAGAGCCAGGGAACATGAAGAAGAAGAAGAAGTTCCTGTTATTTGCCTTAGTGTTTGTGTTGCTGATTTCATTGCATTGTTTGATTCCCAATTAGGGCTTCAGTCAACTAGAAGTGGTTGTCATAGACTTGATTGATGATGTGTGCCACACAGATGATGAGGAATCAAAAGTCAGTTCTTCCTCCATTAGGAAGAGACTTCTGGGAACTTTGTTGCGACCACTTCCTGTAAGTTTCAATGAATATTTACATTGAATAATAAAGGTATTCTTCTGCTTCGACCTTTTATCCCCCAATGGAGCATACATAGGCATTCAACCAATAACACGAAGTTATCCTATCCTTTATTTTTGTTTTCTTCAAATATGCAGCTTACTCATGCCATCTCCATGTTTTCATTCCACTCTCCAGTTCCCGTCTCTAGGTGCATTTAATCCGACTGTATTTCTTTGACCCTGTGGGATCCATTGCAAAGATATTCTTTTTTATATTGTTATCAGCTTTTCTCAGTATCTCCCAACCAGCTCTTGTTTCTGTTTGCTGTTCCACCCCCCCCCCCCCCCCCCCATTATATCATTTTTTTGTCAGTGTTTTACTATGGAAGGCATATTTGTTGTTGTCTATCTTAGCAATACAGACACATGTGAAGCTCTGTCCAAAATCGATCAGGATGGGTACGCTTCATTAGCTTGTTGCCTCAACCAGTGAGGTAGCGGAAGTTCACACCATCAAACAGCTGAGGCAGACTGTGTCTCTTATCTTCTGTCATCACTGCCTAATTGCTTTTTTTTAAAATGGTTGACATTGGCCATAACATTCACCTTCCTACTCATAATCATTGAATACTGCTGGATTCTGAGAGGTCGTCATGGCTTTTAATATTTAAACACTGTTGAAGGTGTTTGAGTCATCACTGTTTTACAATGAGGATGTGTTGATAATTTACATGGTTTTCCTCGTCCTCTTCTCTTTCTTCTTTGTTTGTTCGTTGTTGTTGTTGTTGTTGTTGTTGTTCTTCTTCTTCTTCTTCTACTTGTTCTTCTACTTGTTCTTCTTTTTCTTCTACTGATGCACTGCTACTTCTTCATCATCTTCTTCTTTTCTACCTCTACCTCCTCCTCTGCCTCTTCCTCCTTCTTCCTCATCTGCTGCTGCTTCTTCTTTTATACTCTGTATATTTTGTATGTGTTTTAACTCCATTTTGAATCTAATCACATTTTTATTTGATTAAAGTATAGACCAAATATTCCAAAGACACCATATAGGATTGGAGTTAGTGGAGGTATTGCCAGTGGCAAGTCAAATGTGTGTTCTGAGCTGGAAAAATTTGGAGCTAAAATTATCAACTGTGATTTACTTGGTATGAAATACAAAATTGTGTTGTATCACTTCATTTACTGTGTTTGTCCATTCTTCTCATTCATTTCACTGTCTCTCTCTTGCTCATGTGGCTTGGGGAGGGTAGCGGAGGAGATGGGAAGGATGGAAAGAAAATAGACCCACTACCCGTTGACAAGCACTCTTGGTACTCTGAAAAATGAGTACTTAGAAGGGCCGAATGTCAGACTGGCCTGTGTGCCCAATTTGTAACCCTTTGAAAATAAAGTTTTTTTGTTCGTTTGTTTGTTCGTTCGTTCGTTCAAGCATATTGTAAAAGGTGACTGATTAAGAAGAAATTCTCAGCCTTTTATAACCTCTGATTGCTTTTGTTTTCATGTAATACGACACATTCTTCTAATGCATACACTAGGCCTCCTAATGATCTGGCAGGATTTTGTACTATAGAAACATCTGATCTCAACATAGTTATGTTCAGAACTCAATGGAGAGATGAGATGAATGTACAGCCAGACAGTTACTGGTGCAATTTGGAGTTGGAACTTTTTGCCTGGTGCTGAAGATGTAGACAGTGCCTTATGAGAGTGTCCTGAGTGCTGTAATGTTGATTTTTAATTCAGCATTCAACATTGTTTATATAATTTTATGCTTAGATGATTTTCTTATGGTTATACTGTCAGTGTTGAGCCACATTGGCATGTAAGTTGTTTGCTAGTCTGCCTGGACATATGTCTGAAGTCAATCCCAGGAAACATTAAGTCCAAGTTTGCCCAGACATATGTCTAGAGACAATCCGAAGACGCATCAGGTCTGCCCAGACAGATGTCTGGAGTCAATGCCAGGAGGCATCAAGTCTGCCCAGACAGATGTCTGGAGTCAGTGCCAGGAGGCATCAAGTCTGCCCAGACATGAGTCTGGAGTCAATCCCAGGAGGCATCAAGTGTGTCCGGACAGAAGTCTGGAGTCAATGCCAGGAGGCGTCAAATCTGCCCAGACAGATGTCTGGAGTCAATGCTAGGAGGCTTCAAGTCTCCCAAGACAGATATCTGGAGTCAATGCCAGGAGGCGTCAAGTCTGCCCAGACAGATGTCTGGAGTCAATGCCAGGAGGCATAAAGTCTGCCCAGACAGATGTCTGGAGTCAATCCCGGGAAGCGTCAAGTCTGCTCAGACAGATGTCTGGAGTCTATCCCAGGAGGCGTCAAGTCTGCTCAGACAGATGTCTGGAGTCAATCCCAGGAGGCGTCAAGTCTGCCCAGACAGATGTCTGGAGTCAATCCCAGGAGGCATCAAATCTGCTGGTATCCTTAGCATGTTACACTCATTCATTGACTGCTACATCTACATCTGTGGCTTAGGATTGGGGGCAGGGTTTGTAATTCTAAAATACCCAGTTCTGTTAGATTCTGGCTGCAGGTAATTTGATAGCAGAGTAGTTTACATTGATTTTGTCATCTAGAGCTAACAGTTCAGTTGCAGTGGCAAACTAGTGAACATACAAATTGCCTGGTAAAATCACGAACAGCCTACAAATGCATGGGTTGGTTAGCAATGTCTTCTAGTGGTCATCAAGGTTTTAACTTCACGGCAATCAGGTCACTCCATACTTGCTCCGTTCCTGTGCCAGTGATGATCAAATGAAATGTCTTTCATTGTCCCATTTGAAAAACTGGTGAAAACAATTAGTCCTGACAAAATCCAGAAATATGCACATTCAGTAAATGCATAAGGCAGTTGCTAGGGGCGCCACCAGAAATGCAGTTTGTTGTTGATAGAAGTAGTCAGTCACAATAAGTTGGCTATACACATGAGAAATTAATACATAAGGCATTTCACCACCCCACACTTTAACTGGCTACCCACCATCCTGAATACCAGGACACACACTGCATAAATGAAAGGCGTTCGACATAAAAAAAAAAAAAATCACAGCTCATAGTGCTTCACCAAGCACTTAACCCAGTAGACATCTGTCTATCTGGGAAACATAATCCTCTAAAGGATACACAACTAACTGTTAATATCTGCCTCAACATCACCTACATCACGAAATCTGTTATTACCAAATAACTATTATGTTCAAGTGAATACTGTCTGAGAAGTTCAAACATAAGATGAAATATGTTTGGTTAAAGTAAAAAAAAACCCCCCCCAAAAAAACCCATTCTAAACAGAAGTAGTCCTAGTGGCTCGACAGCAGTAAAGTATAATATGTTGAATTTCTTTGTAAAGTTTACACGTATACTGTATTACATTCATCAGTCATCAGTTCTTGTTATGCCTAGTGGCACATGAGGCTTCAGAGAGGTCTTTCCATGCTTTCCTGTCCTGTGCAATCTTCAATGCAGTTTTCCATGTCAAAGATTCCACACTCAGGTCACTCTCCATCGTTCTTCTCCATGTTGTTTTTGGGTGCCCCTTATTTCTCTTTCCCTCTAGAATCCATGTCAGAGCTGTTTTGGCAGGTATATCAGGATTCATTCTCATAACGTGGCCAAGCCATTTCCATCTTCTCTTGGTTATAAAATAAGTGCCACACCTGCAGAATGTAGGTTATCATCTCTTCCAGAGTATATTATGGTTTCTCGTGTATCTGTTGTGGATTGTCCAAAACCTGTCCACCTGCTTTCACTGATTCCAAGAATATGCAGTTTATAGTTCTGCATTTCTTTAATTACTTTGGCGGTTTTGGTCGTTTCAAACATGGTTCTCACATTCCAGAAGCCAATTGTTAATTTGGTTTTAACATCCAGCAGACTTGTTTTCCCAACATGGGCTTCCTTTCGGCTTTCAATCATGTTGTTCATGCTGACAGAGGGACTCTGTCCTAAGACCGCCGGACGGTTAGAGCACTTATTTCCTCTTGAAGTTTCAGTAACGTTGTAGTTTTTTTACAGGGCAGAGCTGTCAACACTGCGCCCAACCCCTGAACCTGGAGGACCAGGAGGCCATCTTTAGTCTGGCCCCTCACCAATGACCAGTGATGATCAAATGAAATGTCCTTCATTTTCTCATTTGAAAAACTGGTGAAAACAATTAGTCCTGACAAAATCCAGAAATATGCACATCCAGTAAATGCATAAGGCAGTTGCTAGAGGCGCCAAAGCCAATAGTTGCCACCAGAAATGCAATTTATTGTTGATAGAAGTAGTCAGTCACAATAAGTTGGCCATACACACGAAAAATAATACATAAAGCATTTCACCACCCCGCCTTTGAACTGGTTACCCACAATCCTGAACACCAGGACACAACCCTGCACAATTAAAAAGCATTCCACATTAAAAAAAAATCACAGCTCATAGTGCTGCACCAAGAACTTGACCCAGTAGATATCCATCTATCTGTGGAAACATAATCCTTTAAAGGATACACAACTAACTGTTAATATCTGCCTCAACATCACCTACATCATGAAATCTGTTATTATCAAACAACTATTATGTACAAGTGAATACTGTCTGAGAAGTTCAAACATAAGATAAAATATGTTTGGTTAAGATTTAAAAAAAAAACCATTCTAAACAGAAGTAGTCCTAGTGGCTCGACAGCAATAACGAAAATATGTTGAAATTTCTTGGTGAAATTTACATGTATACTGTATTACATTAATGATGTGATTATTTTCATCAAAACCCAACAGGACACAAGGCGTATGTGAAGGGCACAGACGCATATCATGCAATTATCAAAGAGTTTGGCCACTCGGTACTTGATGATAATAAAGAAATCAACAGACGACTCCTAGGATCAGTTGTCTTCAATGATAAGGTACCTTTTCCTAAATTATTTTCTTTTCTGCCATTTTTTCTTCACTAGAAAAGTCCTTTAACCAACTCATGCCAGTGTCTCATGTATTTTATAATCTTCTGCAGCTCTTACTAATTTTCTGTTTTATGTGTTTTAAGTTCTCCGCAATTTGTTTCTGTTGGTTCCTGAGAAAACATGTTTAATTGTTGACATATTTTACCAGTGGAGCTTACCCTGTACCATCAGCTGCCCTAAGCTCTTGATTTGCCAGATTGTGTTTCATTCTGACCATAAAATCTGCATGAGTTTAAAAAATTCTTTTTTCTGCTTCAGCATTTGCCCTTAAAAGGATGGTTAGAACATTGTGTTGTGGTTGACAGCCAGGCTGCTGTATCTGCTTCTTTCGACCTAACACAACAAGTTTCAGCAGCCGTTAATTAGTTACCTCTTATGACATACTTGTTAGACGGGCAGTGGGTATACCCCCCCCCCCCCCCCCTTCCCCGTGGGGGCCTCGGAACTTACATGGAGAAATCTGTCTTAGTGATTCCATGCAATTTTTTAATCTTCTGTTTAGACACAACTTAATAAATTGTGCAGTCCTAAGAAGACTACTGTTAAGTTTATGTCATTCCTGCTCTGTCCAAGTTATGAGACAGACATACTTTAAAATACCTCAGTCACTTATCTCCCTGGATTTGGTTTCTGCTCTGTCCAAGTTATGAGACAGACATACTTTAAAATACCTCAGCCACTTATCTCCCTGGATTTGGTTTCTGCTCTGTCCAAGTTATGAGACAGACATACTTTAAAATACCTCAGCCACTTATCTCCCTGGATTTGGTTTCTGCATTTTTCAAGTTTGATGCAGACAGACTGGTTGATAGACATACACTCAACCTGCATCTTACGTCTTGGTACTGGAATTTTATACTGGCTGCTGAAGACAGGGATGGAGCATTTATGGGCATGCCCTGATTGATTTGATGGTGATTCTTAGCTGTTTGTTTTAGGTTGGTGTGCATCTGCCTGGGGGGTAAGGAACTAGCAGTCTGCTTACAGATAAGCCACATTTGTAAAATGGATGTGCACACAAAACTCAAGTTATGAAATAAGATCAAAATCTAAAAGTGGACGGGCAACCAGAAATTTCCACTGGTGTTCACAGCTAATGATCGCCAAGAGGAATCAAAAGTAGAATTCAGTTCTTTCAAGTTTAAGGCAAATATACTTGTAAACCTTTTTTTCTGTTCTTTGTTATAATTGCGTTATAGAGTTTGCTATTATTTTCTTCTCTCTTCTTCTTCTTTTTAACTCCCAAGAAGGGATGACTAGCTCAGACCAGGCCCCTTGCAGTCTTGTACATCAGTGGTAACATTGTGCAGTTGAACACTTCCACCCCACAGATGCTCGGGAACAAAATGAGTCATGAACTTGTGGGAATTCTAAGGAAAAATCCTTTATTATCCATATTACACATTCAGGTCAGACAGAGGGAGACAAGTGACAAATGGAGTTGATACAGAGGTCGGGGAAAGATGGCTGAGACAGCGTAAAAGATGGCTGAGACAGAGTAAAAGATGAGGGAGACAAGGAGAATGTGTTGACAGAGATGAAGAGAGAGTTACAGAGACCTTTTGTTTATTTACAAAATAATGAATCTTATATAACCACAATAATTAATCATCTTCAGTCTAAGCTCACAACACTCAACAGCATAGTTTGGCCAGCCATTCAGCAGCTAGCAGAGGAAGAGATTGAATTTCACAGAAAAAGTACGATAATTATTCATGTACATTTACTGTATGAATTGATGTGTGTATGTCGGCGGCTGTGGCTTAGGCGTTGCGAACGTGTTTTATAATGCCGGGGTGCCGGGTTTGATCCCAACTGCGGACGGATTTGTCTTGCGTAGATTTAGTCAGTGGTACTGAGAGCTGACTGTTCAGAAAGCACAATGGCAAACAGGTGGTCAAACTACTGAATGTAAAAATTTTCCTACAAAAACCACAACAGCCAAAAAAAATGCTGGATTTGGTTCTGCAACGTCCTGTAAAGGATACACAACTAACTTTAATTTGAATGTGTGTATATGCTGCAAATGTGTATAGCAATTTTTGTTTCTGAGACGATAATTATGTGAAAAAAATTTATTTGAATTTTGTTGAGAGACCAAAACTGAAACAGTAGTACCTGTAAGCAGGGAAAGATAAGTCACAAAAGTTACAGTTGTAAATTTAAGTTGCAAATGGTGCATTATGCACAAAACAATGTAAACTGATCAGCTGGAAGGAAGTTCAGTGTGGATATTAAAGATGTGCAAAGATGGATTGGAACGAAAATTGGAAAAAAAAAAATCCTGAAAAACAGGAGTTTACTGTAATGCTGTGTCATTGCTGACGAACACAAACTCCTACCTTACGTCATTTTAAAAAGTAAATTGATGCCGAAGTGCAAGAGAAAGGGCGGGTGACTCAGGATTTGTGCATCAATTGGTTGAAGACAGTGTGGTTTTGGAATCCTGGTGCACTGTTATTTCACAGGTCCATGGTAGTCATAGACAGTTTCCAAAGAAATTTAATAAAAAAGGTGAAGGATTACACGGTAAGGCAAGTGTCATCTGAGAGCGAGGACTATGGTGGAAGTGCTGAGGAAGTTTTAACTGATGAGTAAAGCTGTATGTTATCAGTGCAAAATGGAGTCTGTTACTGGTATTGTTTTTACATTTCAAAATATTGTATTGTTTATTATTCATATATTTTGCACAGCGGCCTATACACGGGTAAATACGGTACTTTTTGTACTAAATTTAAATGTATGATCTTTTACTGTATCTTTGAAGTCTAGTTTGCAGTAGTGACTAAAGGCTTTAGACCACAACACAATGTAAATATGCTAAAAAAAATGTATATTTACATACTATTACAGAGTATTGGGTAAACTACTTGATAAGGGCACAGAATGCAATTATTGCAGTCTGTTGCATCATCCTTACATTTTAAAATGTGACACTATGAGTTGTTGCTGTTTTAGAGCAATTTAATTGTTTGAACAGGGTTCACATAAGACCATCAGAAAATGAATATTCACAAGTTATAAAGTAGCAACAAAAATAATTTCGTGGTTTGGGATCACCACACGAGGAACTGTATTACAGGGTTGCGGCATTATAAAGGTTGAGAACCAATGCTATAGCACAGTATAACTATCATCTGGAAAGGACCAATTATTGGATTCACTATCCCCCCATAAGTGAGAAGTGTAGCAATAGATTCATTTTGTGAGTTTAGAACATAATTGAATTGTTCAAGATGGAATTTTTGTGCACTTTACTGGCTACTTTGTGGACATCTGCAGCTGGTGCGACCGTTGTTGTTCTTGAGGCTGCAGTGCTGATTGAGGCAGGATGGGATAGTATGGTGCATGAGATCTGGGCAACATTTGTACCCCGGGAGGAGGTAAGAACTTGAAATGTTCCCTATCTTTTATACTAAGCACTTTATTGTTTTTCCCTCTGTAGATTTCGTTTAGTTGTATTGTAAGATTTATTTTTGTGTGCCTGAATCAGGGATGATCATCATGGGCCATGCTGATAAGGGCAGATGACCCTTGTTCAACATCTCACATGACCACTAGAGTCACAGATCAGATCTGTGTTCTTGTCCCACATATGTCATGTGTTTTACCATCTTGCATGATCACTAGTCATGGATCACGTGTGTGTTCTTGTATCCAGCGATCCAGGTATTGTATCTTTTTTTGCCAGTTGTCAAGTCTTAATAATTTTTTCATCTTTAAAAGATGTGGTTTGCCATAGCTTTCCTCTTCAGCACTGGCCATACCGATCAGTTGACCATAGCTGCTACCTTTCTAGTGTCATCCTACCCCACCACTGGGGGGACTGAGCCCAAAACCTGTTTGTCAGCAGTTTTCAAACTCAGTCCACCAACAATAGTTTAACATTACCTTGACAGGGAGCTAAGAAGGTACTCCACCTTTCCCAGTGTTGTCCCTTAGGCTAGCAGAGAGAAGTGTTGCGAGTCACTTGCACAAGTTGAAACTAATGTTGAACGATGCAGAGTGTGACACATGTTGAAACTAATGTTGAACGATGCAGAGTGTGACACATGTTGAAACTAATGTTGAATGATGCAGAGTGTGACACATGTTGAAATTAATGTTGAATGATGCAGAGTGTGACACATGTTGAAATTAATGTTGAATGATGCAGAGTGTTACACATGTTGAAATTAATGTTGAATGATGCAGAGTGTGACACATGTTGAAATTAATGTTGAATGATGCAGAGTGTGACACATGTTGAAACTAATGTTGAATGATGCAGTGTGTGACACAAGTTGAAACTAATGTTGAATGATGCAGTGTGACACATGTTAGATACTATCATTAGTCTTAGTCGAGGTTTCAGCTTCACTGCAGTCGGGTTTCCCCATACTTGCTTCTTTCCTATGCCAGTGCAAATCAGACGAAATATCCCCCACTGTCCCATTTGAAAAATGGTGAAGAAAAAAATTAGTCCCAGAACAATCCCAAAATAAGTTCACTAGGTAAATGCATATGGCAGTTGCTAGAAGTGCCAAAGCCAACAGTTGCCACCAGAAATACAGTTTTTTATTGATGGAAGTAGCTGTACATGATAAGTTGGCTATACACTTGTAGAATTATTATAAGGTATTTCACCAGCTCACACGTAAACCGACTGCTGGCCATATTTAATACCACAACACAGCCGTTGCACAGATGAAAGGCATTCGACATGAAAAATAACAGGTCAGAGTGCTGCACCAAGCACTAAACTCAGTAGCCCAGGCAGCGAAACCATGGAGGCCGTCATTATTTGCAGTCAGCATATTGTTGAACAAGTTGCGAGAAGGATGGCGGGAAGAAAGGATGTTGATCGCTGCTGGGAGGGTGTATGCTCCAAGGCTGTTGTGACTAGGCATGAGTTGTTTAATGGCCTATGCTCTATTTGGGTGGGGTGGGGGGGGGGGGGGGGGGGGGGGGGGGGTCACAGGGCAGAGGAAGAGTAGGAATCTCCTTTTTTATGTAGTACATTTTTTCATTAATGTAATATACAAATAAAAAGCTAGACGACCTTGTTCCACGCCTTCAGGTGTATTGGGTATATAGGGCTAGACCTTTATTTTATAGACAATCAACATTTGGTGGATGATATGGTCAACATGATACCAGCTACCTTTATTTCCCAGGACTTTGCCATTTAAATCTGGGTCGACTTTGGAACCAGGGTCAGCCTTGGAGCCAGAATCTTTTTTTTGAAAAAATCCAGATTTAAACCAATGACCTTTTGATCTACATACAAGCATGTAGCCACTACACGACGGCAGCTCCTACGATGCAGTATAGCTCTCTGTTTGGATCTGTAAATTTCCATACTAAAAAATGCTGTTATTGAATATTATTTTGTACTGTGGTATACCAGGCCATAAGACGTGTGGTGGAAAGAAATGGACTTAGTGAGACTGAGGCAGAGAAACGAATTGACTCACAGATTTCTAATGTGGAACGGATAGAGAAGTCCAATGTTGTCATTTGTTCACTGTGGGAATACGAAGTGACTCGCAGACAGGTATGTAAATTGTCATTTGTTCACTGTGGGAATACGAAGTGACTCGCAAATAGGTATGTAAATATTATTATTTTTATTTTTATTTTAATTTTATGCAGAAATAGGAGTCTAATAGGAGTAGTAAGATCGACTATAGATTATTAAAATAAAATTAAGGAGTGCATCTATCTGAGATGTTACTTTGAGTGCTTCTATGTGAGATTACTTTCAGTGCTTCTATCTTAGATGTTTCAGTAATTCTATCTGGGATATTACTTTCAGTGCCTCTTCTATCTTAGATGTTTCAGTAAATCTGTCAGTGGTATTACTTTCAGTGCTTATATCTTAGATATTACTTTCAGTACTTCAATCTGGGAAATTACTTTCAGTACTTGTATTTTAGATATTATTTTCAGTACTTCTATCTGAGATGTTACTTTCCATGCTTCTGTCTGAGTTTAGTCAATTCAAGTACTGATATCACAGCACTTGTGGCATTCCCATAAGCGGTCTCTTCTCGTCTTCAGCAGCCAGGGCAGAGTTTCAATACCATTGGTACGATTGGCAGTCTGATTATTTGCCGTCTTGTTTTTTCTCTCTGAGCGTTGAGTACAGGCCAGAGCCCTCGTTACTCATCACTATATCACCCTCACCTGAATCTAACGATCCATTTGCTCCTTTGAATTGTACTCGTGCTCCCATAAGGCCTAAATCACGTCTGCCTTATGATGCATCAATATTCCACCAGGTTGTGCAAAACTAGCCAGTCTGTCTGACCGCTCATTTCCTAACACACCGGCTGCGTCAAAGAAAAAATCCAGACGATGCTCTTTACTCGTGACCTCTAAAGTGAAGTATGCCACTCTGCACAAAGAATGTCTGTCCTCACCTTCCTCAGCATGCTTTGTGAGTCAGATACACTCATGATGTGTGTGTGTATATATTGCATACTCTAGCCAGCAGAAAGCTGCAGTGACCGCCTCCATCTCCAGTCTAAAGCTGAATATTGTGGAATCATATGATAGGCTCTTCTGCACCAAACTTCGGCCATTAGCTTTTGATAAGAACGTGCAGGCACTTCTTTTGCCTCCTCCCACTGAACAGTGTTTCCCTTTCAACAGTTCTAGTTTAGCTGTTACTTTAACATTTTAAATCCCATTATAGACTTCAGTGATACTTATGTTATATAGTATAATACACTTGTTAATTGTATTTTATGTAATCAACTTGTAATGTTTCTTGTATTAAGAACTTGATATCTTATCTGATATAATGAGCTTGTATTGCTTTTATTTCACAGGTTCAGAAAGCTTGGTCTTTGTTGCAGGATAGAATCAAACCAGCCACTCAGAATAAACTGTAGTTTTGTCAGGAGTAACAAGCAGTCTGCTTAAAAGAAAAAAAAAATTAGTTGCAAGTCCTTTGCAAGATGTTGCATAACCAACCATTTTTTTCTGGGGTGTTTGTGATTTCACTAGGCAATTTTATGTTGTGTACAGTAATTTGCCATTGCTTCCTGAATGGTCAGCTCTCGATACCACTGTTGAAACCAACCCAAGATAGTCTGCTGCCTAATTGCCCACAGCTGAGATCGAACCTGGAACCAGGGAATTATAAAGCACGTTCATAATGCCTGATCTGCCCCTCAGTATAAAAAGGTCGAGCTGTCGGCTGTATATTTTACATCTTCGTATAAAATGGTCAAGCTATACAATCTGGGAAGCTCACAAATGTTTGCTTTCAGACTTCGTCGTTCATTTCCTGAGTAAAAGTACAGTAAAGAACCCTTGTGAATGCCAATGGCACATCGGGCATATTATGCTCATATTCTTTATAGACTCACCGGCACTTTGTAAACAATCTGCCTCAATGCAGATTCAAACCCAAGACCTTCAGGTCAGCATGTAGTCATCTAGCCAGTACACTACCATGGCTCCTCATTTCATGAGTGCATTTTTCTCTTTTACATACTCTTGGGATTGTTGCTGGAATTATAGAATTCATGTAGGACACTGACGGCAAGGTGAGCACCAATATGCAGAGCAAGACCAAGCCACATGCGATGAAACCCTGTGCAATAAAGTGGATTCTTTCATTTTTCAACAACATTTTTTAGTATCTTTTACCTGGTAGCAGAAGCATAACTGAAACAGAAATATGTAGTGGCAATTTTTGTGGTAGAGAATAACATAACTGAAACAGAAATATGTAGTGGCAATTTTTGTGGTAGAGAATAACATAACTGAAACAGAAATATCTAGTGGCAATTTTTGTGGTAGAGAATAACATGACTTGAGCAGAAATATGTAGTGTAGCAATTTTTGTGGTAGAGAATAACATAACTGAAACAGAAATATGTAATGTAGCAATTTTTGTGTCAGAGAATAACATAACTGAAACAGAAATATGCAGTGTAGCAATTTTTGTGGTAGAGAATAACATACCTTGAGCAGAAACATTCAGTGTAGCAATTTTTGTGATAGAGAATAACATGACTGAAACAGAAATATGTAATGTAGCAATTGTTATGGTAGAGGATAACATGACTGAAGCAAAAATACGAAATGTAGCAATTTACCTAGTACAGGATAACATGAACTAATCAGAAATATATAATGTAGCAGTTATGTGGTACAGGATGGCATTGTTTAAGCAGAAATATGTAATGTAACAATTTACATGGTGGGTACAACATAATTTAAGCAGAAATATGTATTGTAGTAATTATATTGTACAGGATGGCATGATCTAAAACAAAATATGTCATGTGAAATTGTACATAATGCAGGATAACATGATTTAAGCAGAAATATAAAATGCAGTAATTTTGGTTATTCATGCTGGCATAACTGAACAAGAAGTATGTGGCTGAAATGGAGTTTACTGCATGTGTTTACTACTATTTGGGCTGTTAAGAACAGTGGTAGTTGTGAGCCTGAGAATTAAAGACCTCATGACTGGCTTAGTCACCACGAACTGTGCAGGCTAGAATATTTATTTTTGCAAAAATATGTCATATAGCAATCTAGGTTGTTGCGGATAACATGATTTAATCATAACTGCGTAATGTAGCATTGTACAGCTAACTCATAGAACTAATTTTTTTGTTCATGTGTGCCTTCAGTAACTATGCAGGGAATGTGAAATCTTAACTTATAATTTCTTCTCTGTTTCTTGTCCCTTCTTTATGATTTCTTTTCTGTTTCTTGACTTGGTTTATAATTGCTTCTCTGTTTCTTGTCTCTCGTCTATAATTTCTTCTCTGTTTCTTGTCCCTCATTCTTAATGTAGTCTAAATTTTGCTGATTACCTGCAGTCATCTACGGATCAGTCTCAAGTATGTACCGTATTTCCACATGTATAGGACGCCCCCACATATAAGACGACCCTTTATTCATATAGCCCTGCATTAGGAAATATATATTTTAAACACATTCCATGTTTAAGATGACCCCCACTTTTGAACTTCAGATGTATGGGACAAACATATAGTCTTATCCACGGAAAAATACAGTATTTTATTCTGATCATGAAGGTTCTGTGGTCTACACGTAGGTTATAAAGTAGACAGCAGAGAAACGTTTTGATGAGTCACAGCATCATGATAATTGCCTTATTCCTCATGTGTCGTTGTGTCAGTGAAAATAATGGTTTGACACATACATGTGGTTTTCTTTCCCTTCCTCTGCCTTTCTTACCCTCCAGCTCTCCTGTTACTATGAGGTACTCAAGTTTTTTTCCCTTCTCCTGTTGTACCTAAATAATGCAGGTTGTCATCTTTAATGATATCTAAGACAGAACTACTGAAAGTAACAAGCAGCTCAAAGTAATTTTGAAACCAATGAGTTATAGTAACATCTAAATAGGAATCAGTTAATATTTTTTTAAAGGAATTATTTCCCTCTAGGATTGTAGGCGGAAATATTGACACCCAGTGACTGGAGAGCCACTATGCAAATGTCAGTTCAGCCGGAGCAGATCTGAGAAACCCTGTTCAGCCTTATAAACTAGTTACTACTGTATTTCCCCCCAAGTATAAAACAATCCTGTTTAAGACGCATCTCAATTTTTGGGACGGGAAATTTTAAGACAAAAATTAATATGATCACATAAAGATCTACTACCATTATATAAGACGCACACAGGTTTTAGACCCTTTATTTTTTTCACAATAACTGCATCTTAAACTTGAAGAGATACAGTGTATTGGGCACCTGTAGTTCTTTTTGAGAGAGAGAGAGAGTGTGTGTGCACATGTGTGCGTGCATGCGGTGGAGGACAGGGGTTTAAGGTAATGTAACATATAAAACAGAGTAGTAACTTCCTGGGGGATTCAAGAACTAAAGAAAGCCACGAACAGGTTATTGTAATGTAAGTATTACTGATTAACACTTGATGTATTGCTTGATACAGGAGTCAGTTGAATGTGAGCATGTTAACTTATAATTGTTGTATCACTAAGTAATCAGTCTTCTTCTGGTGGTTTGAGTCTGGCCTACTTCCTGGCCTCTGAGGCAGTCGCACTCATGACTTCTAAGGATAAGTAATCAGTCTTCTTCTGGTGGTTTGAGTCTGGCCTACTTCCTGGCCTCTGAGGCAGTCGCACTCATGACTTCTAAGGATAAGTAATCAGTCTTCTTCTGGTGGTTTGAGTCTGGCCTACTTCCTGGCCTCTGAGGCAGTCGCACTCATGACTTCTAAGGATAAGTAATCAGTCTTCTTCTGGTGGTTTGAGTCTGGCCTACTTCCTGGCCTCTGAGGCAGTCGCACTCATGACTTCTAAGGATAAGTAATCAGTCTTCTTCTGGTGGTTTGAGTCTGGCCTACTTCCTGGCCTCTGAGGCAGTCGCACTCATGACTTCTAAGGATAAGTAATCAGCAACCTTTATCCTCTAGGACAGGGGCTCTCAACCTTCCTAATGCAGCGACCCTTTAATACAGTTACCTCCCATTGTGGCGACCCCCCCAGCCTATTATTTTCCTTCATAACTTTAATGAATGTGTGTTTTCCGATGGTCTTAGGCGACCCCTGTGAAAGTGTCCTCCAACCCAAAAAAAATGGTGGTAACCGCCAGGTTGAGAACCGCTACTCTAAGACAGTGTTTCCCTAGTTAGTGGTCCACTGACCCCCATGGGTCCGCATAAAATATCTAAGATATCACTGATGTCTTTTAGACAGACACCCACATGCTCACCTTTAGAAAACAATTCTTTTTGTGATTCTAATATAAATGGCAACTTCTTTAGTAAATAGAAATTTAAACACACACACAAAATGTCCACGCTTTCAGGAGTTTTGGGCATACTCTGCTAGATCTGTATTTTATAGACCAATAAGCACTTGATGGGTGATGGCTATTTAAACAATAACACATTCATGACAGACTTTAGAGGCGTCTGTAGACGGGATATACTTTTGTTGAAGAAATTAGGGTGCTTTATTAATATCCTACCCCAAACCGGGGAGATCCACAGGTCACGGGACAGTCTAAAATTTAAGGGGTTGATAGATAGGCTGCATGCATTCATGGGACCTAGGCTGCATGCAGTCGTGGGACCTAGGCTGCACTCTCTTGTCGGATGTTGTTGGGTTGGGGTTAGGGCCAGTTCTGTATATTTTGGGCTCTTTAAAGGCATCAGAAAACTGGGAAACCCAGTCTTACCACTCTCTAAAATGTTGGATTGTCCTTTGAGGTCATTTGGGGTAGGATATTAATAAAGCACCAAAATTAGTTGCTAGAAAACTGTCGATGACTCTTCTATGTGTAGTTAGATGTTTTTTTTACACAATGGGGAGAAAATTGCTGTGGATGGTCCTGCTAGATATAGAGGGCCATCTTATAAACAACTGGGAGAAAATTACTGCCAGATGTCATTGGGTTTCTGCTGGCATAGAAACCTTTCAACAGTTTGGATTGAGGAAACTGCCCAAGGAATGCTACCTGCATTGAATAAACAACAGTGAGAACTTCCCTGTGACAAGTAACATACGTTTAACCGTCTCTGATGGAGTACTCTGCCACTCTGGAGCTCTTAGGTGACCATTCTCCTCTTGAACAAGGATAGCTGAATCAACACTTGTACTCCAGTGATATTTTGCAGCTTGTTTTACTTTAATTTAAAGCTAGTAACTACTATCACCTCACATTTCTTGATTTGTTTTTTTTCAGCCTTAAATATTTTGTCACTGAATTATTCTGGCTGGCTTACATTTAAAGATGACTCAGATGTCATGATAGTGACTACAAAAGAAGAAATGTAGTAAACTCTTTTGCCCAGAGAATCTGCAAAACCAACACTTCCAGATGAGCCCCATTCCCCATAAAGGTCACTTTTCTGACTTATCTATAGTGACCTGCTTAG